TGGGTTGCATGGTGCTGAACGATGTTGACTGGGGCAGCCACACCAACAATGGCACAAGGGCTAGGGGGTGCCGTACATATGTAACAAAGCCTGCCACATTGTGCGCAATGTACCCTAGAACTTAAAGTATAATAATAAAAAATAAATAAATTTTTTAAAAAAGGAAAGACATGTAAAAAAATAAAAACAAAAAAATTAAAAAAAATTAAAAGAAAATGCAAACCAAAACCACAATGAGAAGTCACTTCATACCCACTCGGATGGCTATAATAAAAATGATAATAATTTTTGATGGCAAGTATGTGGAGAAAATGGAAACCTCATATATTGTTGGTGGGGATGTAAAGTGGTGTAGAACTGTGGAAAACTGTTTGGCAGTTCCTCAAAGCATTAAACATATTACTACTCAAAAAAAAAAAACAGTTCATTGTCAGACTGGAATCCTAAGTAGACATCTAACAATCCCTGAAACCACTCAGTGACCAAGAGAAAGTACCCACCAGGGCCCATTATGCCCAGTGATCTCTCACAGCAGTGGGAGTGGGAGTGAGTTCTCTCGTCTTCAAGCTCCACAAACTTGTGTTTTGAGTTCTCTGAGTTTATATGTGCACTTTTGATCTAGAGTGGATATGGAAGTCATGACAGAGACAGGATTGGGTCCTGCAGGGAGGCTTCAGGTATGTGACTAGATTAGACATAAGCTAAACTGGGTTCAATAGATAGGTGGGTTTACTACAAGACAGAACCATGGGCTCATCTGGATCCAAGGAGTCAGAACTCTTCCATCTGGGGCATCAGCCAATTACATTTATAAAAACTGTAGACCCAGAATCACTGCTTTTCTAGAGAAACACGTAAATCATACTAAGATAACTTTGAGTTACAATGTCCACAGTAGGAAAACTTCTTACAAAAGGTGAATAGATGCGTATTTTTATAGTTACATCAATACAGGCGTTAGCAGTGGTGAATTTGTATGGATCTGCAGCAACCCCAATTCTTGCTTCCTTGGAATAAAGAATTTGATGGAGGGACATAAAGTCAAAGGAGAGACCAAGGCAAGTTTTAGAGCAGAAGAGAAGGTTATTAAAAAGTTTAGAGCAGGAATGAAAGGAAATAAAGTACACTTGGACAAGGGCCAAGTAGACAACTTGAGAGATTGTGTAAGGTTTGACCTTTGACTTGAGTTCTTATACATTGGCATGCTTCTGGGTTTGAATGACTTCTCCCCTGATTCTTCCCTTGAGGTGGGCTATCTGCATGTGCAGTGGCCTGCCAGAACCAGGGAGGGGCTGCATGCACAGCGTATTTACTAGAGTTATACACATGCTCACTTGAGGCATTCTTCTTTTACCTGTCCGAATGTTCCCATAAGGTCATCTGTCAGTTAAACTCTTTCCTTTTTTCTCTTAGTGTGCATACATGAGCCCACTTGCCCAACTCTTGAGATCTTATCAGGAAGGTACTGGTTAGCAGTTTCAGGTGGTTCTATCTATTGGGAGGCTGCCTTTCCCTGACACTGGTTGCAACCAATTATTATTTTAGAGAGACAGTTAACAATCACCCAACCATCATCTGGTGGTCCCTTGACATTCCTTGAGTGGGAGCCCTCTCCTGCTCTGCTCATATCTGCCTGACTACCTACCTACCTACTAGTCAGGCAGGGACCAAGAGAATGTCTTTGTACATATTTTAAACCTAATCCAGTGGGTCTTAAACTAAAACACCCAGTGCTCTGGGATAGCTGCCTTTATTGTAAACAAGCCATTGGCAAAGAGTGTCCACTTTTACACCAGCCATCAGAGGGAGCCCTCCCTTTGTCACAAACTATTAATTTTATTTATTTATTTATTTATTTATTTATTTATTTATTTTACTAGAAGAAGCCCTCAAAGTCTTCACTCCCAGGAAAATAATTGACCAAGGTCTCAGAGAGAAAAGAGAATACTTTTGTGGTGGGAGTTTCAAATCAAGTCCAAAAAGTCTCCATGTCTGAACCTATCCAATTGACACTTGGACCATTTTCAGAGAAAAATTTCTAAGAATTAGTTTTCCCTTTTCTCTAGTCAATTTTGCTTCTTTCATAAGAAACTCAAGGTTGATGGATACCCCTCTTCTCAAACCCCTGATGACTATGTGGACTATATGCTCTGCCAACTCTGTTCAACACTTTCCTATTATCATGGTCTTCTCTATGCCCCAACACTCCTTCTCATGAGGAGAGTGGTGGAAGTGGGTACCTGAATGAAACTGTGATAGGGTTTGACTCTGTGTCTCCACCCAAATCTCACCTGTAGCTCCCATAATTCCCATGTGTTGTAGGAGGGAGCCAGTGGGAGATAACTGAATCATGGGGGTGGGTCTGTCCCATGCTGTTCTCATGGTAGTTAATAAGTATCACAACATCTGATGGATTTACAAATGGGAGTTCCCTGCACAAGCTCTCTCTTTGCCTGCTGCCCTCCGGGTAAGATGTGACTTGCTCTCCGTTGTCATCTGCCATGATTGTGAGGCTTCCCCAGCCACATGAAAATGTAAGTCCAATTAAACCTCTTTGTTTTGTAAATTGCCCAGTCTCAGGTATGTCTTTATCAGCAGCGTGAAAATGATCTAAAACAGTAAATTGGTACTGGAAGTGAAGTGTTGCCGAAAAGTTACCTGAAAATGTGGAAGTGACTTTGGAACTGCATACCAGGCAGAGGTTGGAACACTTTGGAGGGCTCAAAAGAAGACAGGAACTTGTGAGAAAGTTTGGAACTACTTAGAGACTTGTTGAATGGTTTTGACAAAAATGCTGATAGCAATATGAACAATAAAGTCCAGGCCGAGGTGGTCTCAGATGGAAATAAGAAACTTGTTGGGAACTGGAGCAAAAGTGACCCTTACTATGTTTTAGAGAGACTGGCAGCATTTTGCCCCTGCCCTGGAGATCTGTGGAATTTTGAACTTAAGAGAGATTATTTAGGATATCTGGTGGAAGATATTCCTAAGCAGCAAAGCATTCAAGAGCTGAACGGGGTGCTGTTAAGGGCATTCAGTTTGTGAGGGAAGCAAAGTATAAAAGTTCAGAAATTTTGCAGCCTGACAATGCGATAGGAAAGAAAATTTCATTTCCTAAGGTGCAGAAATTTTTATACGTAATGAGAAGTCAAATGTTAATCCTCAAGACAATGGGAAAAATGTCTCCAGGGAATGTCAGAGGTCTTCACAGCAGCCCCTCTCATCACAGGCTGGAAGTCTAAAAGCAAAAAGTGGTTTCATGGGCTGAACCCAAGGTTTCCATACTTTGTTCAGCCTAGGGACTTGGTGCCCTGGGTCAGAGACACTCCAGCCATAACTGAAAGGGGCTGATAAACTAATATATTACTAATAAACTAATACATTAACCATAAACTAATACATTAACCATTACACATGCCAAAGTCAAATCCTCTCACAGTTCAAGGTAATATCTGGCACCCCCAAAAGCCAACGAGGTCAGGTCAGGTCATGCAATACAGGAAAGAAGAGCTAAGAAGAATCTGTCCATGACTCTTGGAACTTCACAAAGCAAAATGAACACCCCAAAAAGGGATGCGCATCATCTTTTTTTCTGAGTTTTAGGGGTTCAGGTCATTAGAAGCCTTCTCTATACTTTTTCTTGGTACCAAAGATGATGACGAGGGAAGGAGAAATGGGGGAAAGAAAGGTAAATGAAAGAACATTTGTTTTTTTTAAAAACAGGAAGCAAACACAGAAACCAAGTGCGTGGTTCTGTTTTGCTTTGCTTTGTTTCTCTTTTGCAGCTCAGAGGAATTTTAGCCAATTCAGAGAGGTCTTGTTATCCATAATCTGGAATTCTTATAAGGATTTGACCAAGTAAGGTAGAGGTGGTAAAGTCTGATGCAAGAAATATTGGAACAAACAATGGCAAAAAAATGATTGCTGAGTGTCCTAATCATAAGGAGAAGTTAAGATCAGCTGGTTGTTAATCTTAACTTTACTCAGAAAAATAAAAATAAAAATAAAACAACTTCAGCTACTTATCTAGGAATGGGTCTCAAGCTGAAGACTGCTCTCCATCATCCTAGATAGGAGTTACTTGCCTTCCGTCATCATGGAAGCAGGAAAACTTGCCTTCATTGTTGGAATCAAGTAAATCTCCAAAAAAGTTTTACAGCAAAAAAAACTTTAGATCTCAGTCAAATTTTGGGAGATCAGGGATCCTCTTGGCATTGGGGGCAGGTCTGAGAAAATTGTGTTATTGGTTTGAGCCATAAAGATAGCTCAAGCTGGTACCAATAGGAGATATGTCAAAGGTCAGGGGAACCTCCACTCAGAGTCCCTTCATCTTCTCCAAAATGTGAACCTCAAATATCTTAGACAGGACTCCGTCAGCTTAGAAAGTTTATTTGGCTACAGTTAAGGATGTGCCCATGACATAGGCTCAGGAGGTCCTGATGACATGTGCCCAATGTGATTGGGGTGCAGCTTGATTTTATACATTTTAGGGAGACATAACACATCAATCAATATATGTAACATTCACATTGGTTGCTCTGGAAGGGCAGGACAACTAAAAGTAGGGACTTACAGATCATAGAATTTAAACATATTCTAATTGGCAATTGGTTGAAAGAGTTATTATCAATAGAAAAAAATGTCTGGGTTATGATAAGGGGTTGTGGAGACCTAGGTTTTATCATGCAGATGAAGTCTTCAAGTAGCAGGGCTTAGAAAGAATAGACTGTAAGTGTTTCTTATCAGACTTAAGGTTTATGTTAACATTAATACTGGAGGGTAATAATGAGGAATGTCCAAACCCCACTTCCTGTCATGGCCTTAACCAGTCTTTCAGGGTAAATTTTAGAGTGCCCTGGCTGAGAGGGAGTCCATTCAGATGATTGCAGAGGTCATTGAATGTTATTTTTGGTTTATAGAACTAAGAGTTCAATGTAAGAACAATGTGCAAATGAAGAAGCAATGTCCATTATTTCATGTATATCAAGCACAGCAATAAAACAAACAAACTAAAATTATGGTTTCAGGTGTTTGCTTTCATGATGACATTTACATGCTATACAAATAGCCAACGGGGAAAAAACTTGATGATGGCTAGCTTTGTTTTGTGTTACAATGTGTCTACTTAAAAATAGCTTCCCAAATCCCTTTGGCAACTTGCACCTTGAAGTTTTGCAAATTTAAATAATGAATATTAATTAAATATCTAGATTATTTTAATATAATATAAAATACTGAAACATTAATCGATGAACACAAGTTTAAATTTATTTACTTTGGACTTCTTGTTTTTTATATAGTATGAAGAATTTAAATATATTTTGGTCTGTTAAGAAACAAAAAGAAATCATATTTTGATGACGCACATATTTTCAGAAATTGCAAAATGGTGTTAATCCACAGAATGATTTGCAAATGCTAATAATTAAAATTCTAATTAATATATGCTAATTAAAACTAAAAATAATAAGGGCAACAACTTCACATGCAAGGAAAGTAAGACAAGTTTTTGTTAATTAAAGCAATGAGGTAGGAAAGAATTGTTCTGTTAAGGGAAAAAGAGTCATTATTGTCCTAAAGTAGAATGACTAATTGTTTCAAAGTGGGAAGAGAAAAAGTATTAGCACAAAGCCTGAGTAAATAAGAAAGTTGTAGAAGGTTTGTGGAAGATGAATCTTGTGAAATAAAAAATTTTATGTGTTATGAAGCTGGCTAAGATTAAAAATGAGTTATTAAGTTTTTCTAAATATTTAGCATCAATTAAAAAATTCACTGATGCAAAACTAGAATTTTGTTCTCTCTGTTAATAATTTGATCCTCTGTTAAAACAAACAGTGCTCTTGGAGTATTGGTTGGCTCTTAATAGGAAATTGTAAAAAGTGTTTACCTTTTAGGAAATTGGGCTGGGAAGTAAAAGTTTTGTTTTACCCTGTTTAATCTTGTGCTTTATGTGTCTTTATTAGATCTTTGATTACATTTAAAAAACTGAGTCCTCTCTACTAAAACAGGTTTTTTAATAACTATGTAACTTTCTGTATTTGCCTTTGAAGTCTTTAAGTTCTCCCTCTAGTTAAATGAATAACTATCATTTAAGTGGCCTATGCTTGTATTTTGATCAAGTATTTTAAACTCTTGATATTTTTGACAAACTTTCTGAACTCAAAATTCGAAATTTTCTTGAGCTTGAAACAACTTCTGGATTTTCCGGATGTGCTTTTGGAACATCTCCAAAGGATTTGTCTCTTTCCTTGTAAAAAGACATATTAAATTATTTGGGCTTATTTGATACATTAAATTAATAAGAAGCATTGCCTAATAATAAGTAATGCTAACTTTTTAAAATTGCATTTATATGGACATGTTATTAATATGTATTCCAGGAATTATAAAATCCATAGAAATCAGGTCATATTTTTGGACCTGATAAGAATTTCCAGAACTCTAAGAAAGAAACTGGTTGGCTCTACAAAACTACTAACCCAAACATGAAGCAGAACAGAATTAATTGAATATCAGGAATGTTTAACTAAATTTGGTAGATTTTCATGCTAGGCTGTAAGTGTGTGGCTTTATTATTAAAATATTGCAATTATTAAAATATGCAATTTGAATGAGCCTCATAAGTTTGATCCAAGTCAAATTACCTATGATAATCTATTTAAGAAACAATGCTGTATACCTGAATTGGAGAAACAAAGGTGATGTTTATGAAGATCTAAATCTAATGCTAAGTGTGATCTCATGAAAAGCCTAGACAACTGCCTGGTGCTTCCAGAGTCTTTAAAGCTTCCATTTTTCCATTAGGTCTACTCTATGACTCATCATAGAATAGATCAAATGATATTTTAAAAATTAAAAATTGGTTTGGTAATTGTTCTAACATTGTGAAAATGATTTATAACCAATATGTGATTTGTCAAATTCATATTCCATAAGACAGTACAAAACTCGGGTGATTAATTTCCAGAACTTGAGGGACCGTTTAAATACTAACCAATGGATTTCATGCAAGTGCTAATTTCAGTGTGTGTTTTCTGGTTGTATAGAAACTTTCCCATGAAGAAAGGCTGATTCTATAATAGTAACTAAGAGATTATTACAAAATGTGTTTCCTTTATGGGACATTCCTGGAGAAATCTTCAGTGATAGAAGCATTCATTTCACTGCAGTTAAACAAGGCATTACAAACACAAAGGCATTAAGCAAAGCTAATTGAATCAATTGTATTGTCTTTGTCGAAGATATTAGTAGACTGATGATAATTAGATCTATTCTTATTAGAAAACATAGATTGACCCCTAATGAAATAATTAATGAAAAGCCTACACCCCCTAATAATAAAATCATATGTATCTCCTGTTCTTAGAAACTCTGACAAAATTCAGCATTCCAAGACTTGAATGCATTATGCCTAAGTGTCTTTTTCACCACATAAAATAAGCCTTTAAATGGCCCACCAACTAATGACAACCACACCTTTCACAATCTAGAACCTGAAGATTACATCATATGGATATGACACCAGAGAAAGACC